TCAATGTAATGTACTGAAAGCTCAATGTACGGAAAGCTCAACATTCAATTCATTCCTCAATGTAGTCATGTCCAAGGGACGAATTTTAGATCAGTTCATGAAAGTAGAAAATTTCTCGACTGAAGATTATATTAGTTCCAAAAAATTTAACTTTTCCATTTATGTGGTGAATACATGTGACTTGACGCTAAGAACTGTTGTATTTGATTCAAGTAAATGTATCTCAAGAAGAAATAATTGATATTCACCGTAAGGTCTTATTCATTTGAAATTGATTCAATTATATAATACTTGTTTCAAGAAAGAAACATCTCAATAAAAATAATTTTTCAGTCAGTGTACGATGTTCTTAAAAAACGAATCCGTGGTAAATCAATATATTTCGACTACGGCGAATTTTTCATCAAATTTTATAGTACATAGTTTGTGCGATATTCAACTCTAGACAATGGAAATTTAGTGGAATCATTTCTTATTTGATTCAAACAATTATTGTTGCATTCATCAACGACATATGAGGATAGAAAAACTCAATAACTTATGAGAATGCAATAAATTATGAAATAATAAATTATTATTAATCTAGTTGAAACGAGTAGATTTTTCACTTCAATCAATCCTACTCAGGTGAAGTAGAGGCTCGGGATTGAATCAAAACAAAAATTTGTTCCAGTACATTTAGGGATTTTTTATTTAGATTTGAATTTGAAAAATCCTTTATTTCAAGCGCAACTTGAGTAAGGGTGAAGAGTTCCTTAGAAACAACAGCTTTTTTTATCTGTGAATAGAAATTAAGTGAGAGAAAATTAAAATAAAAATGAACACGAATAATAAGTTGATTCGAAAATCTTACATATGCATGTTGTGTTAGCCCTTTCAAAGGAGAGGAAGAAATATTATTACAAGTTTCTATGCTCCATGTTGGGTAAAGATGTTAATTTTCGGAGTAGGTAATGGCTGTTTGTCGCAACGAGATAAAAGATTAAGTGGACAGTTGAAGTGGTCGGTATTAATGGTGTCCCAAACCATAGTTTCATGCCTCACCGAACTTGAGAATTCCATCGGTTTATTAGGGACGGATGCGATAGATTTTTATCTCACCGAGATTTTTTTTAACGGTCCGACCGGTAATATCTTTTTTCGGATGAGGTATGAAGCAAATGTATACGAGGTGGAATAAGTTTTCTAAAAAAAAACCAGTCTCACGATCATGGGATATGTATATATTTTTTGATAATGAGGAACTACGTTCGTGCACACGATAAAAAGGTCATGTATGTAATTTGGATATTTATCGTAGACACACGGCTATCGAAAGCCAGGTGCTCGAACCGTTCACTCACTCGAATTATATTTCTTTTTTCATATTTAATATTAAGTTATTCATGAATTCACTTAATCGCCTCTCTGCACCTAACCTACCTGGACTATCGGGTTTTTTCCCTTTCTTTTCCCTAAATCTCAACGGGCTCAAAGAGACTGCTGTGCGTGTGTGTTGCGTTTTTTCGATTTGGTCTCTCGCGCCGGGCGAATAATCAACGTTTTAAAATTTCGTAGAAAATCCCGCGCAGGTAACGAGCGACATAAATTCTTTATTAGCGGTGCGGGGCCACCCATACCCGTTTATTTCACGTCTTCCCCTTTATATCTCGTTGAGTTTTTTTTACTTTATTCATTGGAAATACTTTTTACCTGGATTAAAGTCAGACGAGATTGAATTTTTGGGAGGAGCAACTAACCTTCAGATTTAGAAATGTTAAATTAATCCGGGGGAATCAATTTCTCCGAATCGAATTCATTGTTCTTAATTCTAGTATAGAGTTGATGAAGACGGTCTGATATGCCTCAGGGGTAATCAGGGGTTTTTGCCTGAGATATTGCAAAAATAGTTTTTCAACATTTTTTACTTCATTCACTGTTAAAAATTTTCGTCTGAATTTTCCGCGCCAAATTCCGGAAGTTGTTGTGTTCAAGTTCCACTAAAATTTCAGGAAATCTTATCATTGAAAAATCAAATATTTCGGTGATTTTCTGTTCAAATGATCTGGAAATCAATAAAATACTTGATTTTTCAGTTCAATTATTCTGTAAAAATTCAGAAAAATCAGGAAAATTCAGGGAAAAATTGAAAATTTGTGTCATTTTGTTTCTGAATATTAATGTGCCATTGAAAATTTAATGAAGTGAAATTTCCATCTCACTCCGACTAAAAACTCATGATTTTCCGTGAATTCTACTTAAAACTTTAAATTTCATAACCACTTTTTCCCTAAATTCGATTCATTGTCACTCTCATGAGATTTATTACAATATTGTCCATAAAATTTCAAAAAATTTCTAACAGTGTTCATTTTATCAATTTAGAATGAATTTACTTCCTTTTGCAAAAGTATAATGTTCGAACTAATAATAATATATCTTGATTTAATGATTTTTTTCCTCTCTGTAATCTTTTCAGGTACGTTAATGGAGAAGACTTGAAATTTCATAAACGGTTTGGCAATAATTTTCATGAGACTAACATGTAATTTAATTTGGGGGAAAAAGCATAAAATTTCAACGGAATTCCAAATTTTTTAGCAGGGGCACGAGGAGAATTCTTCAACTAATTTGAATTTTCAATCAAAAAATGAGTATTCATCAAAAAATTCAATAGAATTTTTCTGATTTCTATTATTTGTTATGAAATAATTTAATTAAAATTTCACAATTTACACCAAATTTAAGCGGAACTATCACTTTTTACTGTTGTGAATTTGTATTCAAATTAATATCACACTAAAAAAAACAAGTTTTGTTTGAGACACATGATCTCAAGTTGAGATATTCAAGTCTCAAATTGAATTTGTGAAAGTCTCAAATTGGGACTTTTGAAAATCTCATTTTATGACCTTTGAAATATTAAAATAAGGTATTTTTTTTATGCAAATCGTTCATGGAATCGCTTATTAATTTCGGCAACTCAACAGAATTGAATCTATCATATTAGGCGATCATTGATATATCAATGGCAGTTTTAATTTCCCAATTAATTATATAAATTGAATATCTCATTCAATTGAATGTCCAATAGATTGGAAATGCAGAATAATAATTGTCAAATTATCAATCATTTTCATTGTTACATGGACCTAATAATAGCAATTTCATTGGATATTCCCCAAATTTCACATCAACTTATAATTGGCAAAAAAATTGCCATTGCTGAAAATTTCAATTTTTTTTCTAAAAATGAAGAGTTACTCACAAAACTTCCTACATTGTTAAATATTTTCGTCTGTATTTTTCGCGTCAAATTCCGGAAATTTTCATCATGTTTAATTTCCGCTGAAATTTCAGGAAATCTTATCACTGAAAATGCATATTCCATTGATTTTCTGTTTGTATGATCTGAAATCAATAAAATTCTTGATTTTTCAGTTCAATTATTCCGTGAAAATTCGGAAAATTCAGGGAAAAATTGAAAATTCATGTCATTTTGTTTCTGAATATTCATGTTCCATTGAAAATTTAGTCAAGTTATGAAATTTCCGCCTCACTCCCCTGAAAACTCATGGATTTCCTTGAATTCTACTTAAACCTCGAAATTTCACAAACATTTTTCCTTTAAATCAGATTCAATGTCACTCTGATGAAAATTCCTACCATAATTTCCATGAAATTTCAAAAAATTTCCAACAGTGTAACTCAAGAATCATTCAGTATTAGTAAGACTGAGATACACTTGGCAACGTGGCCCATTGAAATTGCCGTAAAAATAAATAAGATAAATGAAAAAAGAAGGAAAAGGAATTTGAGATATTTTGTTGCAGCGTGAGGATGAAGAAAAAGGAGAGATATACGCCCCCGTAGTTATTTCGACAGGAACCATTTTACTGTGGCTCAAAAGAACCTGTTCAATTTCTGTGTGCACCTTGAAGTGTATATGAAGGAGAGTAGAGAAAGAGAAGAAAAAAGGAGACAAGATTTTTGAAAGATGACCAAGGGGGCCTCCTCTCTCAGCCACTGAAAGACGAGAAAAAGGATGGGGGAGATCAGGTCAGTCCGACTTACATTACTGCGTGAAGGGAGTTGTTGGCTTTCGTGAAATCGGGAATATCTGATCATCCGGCTGTCATTTACCTGCGCACTCGGGCTAAAGCCGACAAGCCACTCCTCGTTTATGCTCTTAGAATCCCTTGCGTGTTCAGGATTTTTCGAAAATTCAGTGAGAGATGATTTTTTTTTAAAATACATTTCTCTCTGAATCTCTCGCCGATTTAAATTCATTATTCAATACCCATAATTCCTAACTATTTCCGAGAAGCACATGGCAACTGCTGCATGACAGACTGCAATTAATGTTGTACATCAATAAATTACCCCGAATTTCTTCATTTTTCCTTTCTCAGAAACGTAATTCAATAATTTAACAAAAGCCCCAGTTCTTCTTCCCCTCGGGCGTAATGTGTCGCGTATTTCTTTTTACATCTCGTGCCAACTTTTTGGAAAGCGAGAGAAGGGGGACAGGTGTATAAGTGCACTAGGGCCCGGTGCTCCACAACCACCTCAACCCCCAACCTTTCTTCATCCCACCGGAGAATTAAAAATAAAAGTCAATTGAAACAGAGAGTTGAAAAGAGTAAAAATCAGTCCCTAAGAATTTTTATTTCAAAGAAATCATCCCGACTGTGTGGGCATGCAATACAAATAAACACATGCCCCCTACACACACTCACACACACACACACACATGTTCAACATAATGGTAGAGTGGTAAAAAAAGGAAATGAAGGTTGCGGGTGATAAAGGGCACGTGCGAAAGAGGAAACCCATTCGGTCGTCAGTGGACTATCCCTTTACTCCGGAGCAGGCGCACCTTTCACTCCTACAAGCTACACTGACCTACATTCCGAACAAACCGGGTCCACATTAAATTCCAAATGAACACAAAGAGTAATTCGTAATCAGCCTCCACCCCCCCCCTCCACCCGAAATAAAATCAAAAGAGCAAAACTCACTGGATTATTGGTGGAAGTCGCAGCTGGACCAGCGGCAGTGTGTCCCTCGTAATCGTAATCCTGTTCCCTGTGTCTATTCCTCCCAGTACTGTGCTCACTCTCCCTGACCTCCCTGTGATGATCACGATGATCCCTGTTATCCCGTAAATCACGGCTCAATTCACGTTCTCCAGTGATACGGGACTGCCTAGACATCGCCGGCTGCTCCTCCACCTCTTCTTCCTCTTCCTCCCCCACCTCGTCAATTTCGTCCTCCTCTTCCTCGTCCTCAGAGTCAAGAAGCAGCCGTTCGGTACCAAAGCCACCACCGGGGTTGCCGTCTCCACGGCCGGTGACTCCCCGTCGAACGGGATGACGCCGTAGGTCACACCATCCTCCTCCTCCACCTCCACCGCCTCCCTCCTCGCCACACGGACTCCCGGCCACCCCGCGGCCCGTTGATAATACACCTGGCGCCCTCACCTTCTTTCTACCAATCGTATTATCCTGCAAACGCACTGACGCCCCACCGTGGCCCTCCGTAACATCACCGTAATCAACTATATTAACTTTGCTTCTTCTTCCACTTACGACATCCCGATAATCATTGTGATAATCATCCTCCTCCTCCTCACGATATCCGGGTAAACCGAATGACGAGGTTGGCGATAGAACTGGTGATTCACTGAAGAGTACAACGCCTCTTCGTCGTCCAGTTCTTGTGCTGTCGACGCCACCGCTTTCGCGGGGACGATCTTCCCGTCGTCTCGTCACCACTTGAATTTTTTTAATACTTTTTGGGCTAAATCACTGCTGCAAGAGCTTATTCACGGAATTTAGTCACTTCGTCAAATGATCATCGATGACTTTACGATATTTTTCTTCGGTCTTTGTTTGTTTTGTTTGGTTTTGTTCCCTTCGCTTCTGTTCTTCTCTTTTATGTACTTCTGTCGTCTGTTTTATTTATGAAGAGTTTGCCCTGCTTACGCGAAGCTCCCTCAGGTTTATTGTTCAATCTCCAAGAACAATGAGCATTTCCCAGTCAAAAAGAGCCTGTCGATTATTGTTGCCCAGTGTTTGTTTCAACCCGAGACAAGTGGGTGGATTTTTCTGTTTTACGTGTGGAGGTTAGGCAGCACTAGTTGGCAAGGCTCACCGAATGTAGGGCTGTAGGTCGCGTTCACCCGTTCCACTATACACACCCACCCTCTTCGCCACCCGGACCGACTTTGACTCAGCTGCAATGTACCCTCGCGCAAGGGGTTGCGACGTTGCACCGGTCCGACACACTCAATACTCCTCACAAAGACATTGCGATGGCTGTTTTTTGCTTGTCGCAAGGGAATTTGTCCGAGGAGAACTATGGCAATTCTCTCGGGATTTATTGACAAACTTGATAATCCAATTTGATATCTCGTAATTTGATTACGCGACACTAGACGTTTCCTTCTCCTCAATTTCAATCTGGAATTTTTCGAGATTAGGTTGCGATATTTACTTGAATTTTTCGACTGATTTACTTGAATTCTCCACTGATAAAACTTGTTTTATGTCGAACTACTCGACTGAACTTTCGCTTATTGGTACTTAGGTTTTATCAAGCAGGTGGAGATAAAACTCATGAATTTTCGTTGAATTCACTGGTTCACTTGAATGAATAAACCACTTGGAGTAAAAATATTGAAAGTACGAGCCGCAGCAAGTTGTCTCAGATACGACAGTCAACAGTTTTTCCTCGCGAACCCGGTGACAAGGAAAACACTGGCAAATATCGGGTAGTTTCTCACCCACTTTGTGTGCAACCACAGACTAGTTATTTCTAATCTATTCAGTTGAGTACAATCACAAATAACTCGGTTGTCAATGACTGGAGTAATTTATGGTATGAAATTTTTTATACTTCAAAATGAGGGATTGACGAAAAAACACTGGCGATACGTTTGTACGTTTTTCCAACGGAATATTACGGATATGGAAGGTGGATGGGCTTCGCGCTTCGCTCGGGACTCGGTTATCATCGGTATTGTTCGCCGATAATCGAGATTTTTCGCCCCGTTTGCTTGATAGACCGCGTGACGTCACGATTGTGTATATACGAACCTGGGATGTCTATTATCGATCGGAAGTGAGCGCGCATGCGAGTCGATGATAGCTGTTGGATTCCAGCGTTTCCCCCCGCTGGTTTCGTTGGACTTTCTCAGTGTTTTCAAAATCTAGTACTTGCTCATGCGCAGAAAGGGTGGTTGAGGGGTCGGGGCGGGGGACGCGACACGTGGTGTGGTGTATTTTACCCGTGTGTCCATCAGGGCCGGGTGTACCCTCTATCTGCCTGGAAATGTACTTCGTATCTGTTTCTGCAACACCAATGGACAACGCATCGATTTTTCACGCGTCTAATATTTGAGCTTGTGTTGGTTTTTATGGACACTGATAGACTGATTCATTTATTCCAAACGAGATTCGTTATCTATTAACGAAGGGTTGAGTTGAATATGACCAAATAAATATTCGTTAATAGTTAACGAATGGTTCACATGAAAGGTGAAAGTCGAGTCAAACAAGACTTCTCAAATATGCATTCGTTAACCATTAACGAATGAACATTTGGTGAGACCAAATAGACCCTGGCTTTCAACCAAATCCATTTGTTAACAATAACTAATTATGTCTATCAGTGCACTAAGGGAGAAAATAGTATGTTTTGTCATCAGGCTGAGAAAAACTTTTCTGGCGAATAGGTTCTGGTTTCTGGTTCTGGTCTTAGGATTGCAATCATATGAGCTAGAAAAGTTTTTTTAGGCCGTATGTCGAATATTTTTTGTCATGACCAGCGTAGGCAACAATTTATGAACGCGTAGCGTTCGTAAAGTGCTGATGCCTTACGGCCGAAATGACGAAAACCAAGTTTTTTGAGTTTTTTGAGTCTTTACTTGTATCCAGAAACTCATGGTTCGAATTGAGAATGAAAGAGAAGAAAAAAACACGGTCTGTAATCACACTCGTCAGGAAACAAATTTTTCACCACGCTTTGCGACTCTTTTTAGGCACGCGAAGCTAAAACGTCCCTTTCCACACATTGTGACGCAAAATATCGTTCGATACTTATGGGAAAAGTGTTTTTTAACTCGTGACATTAGATCACTCACCTTCGGCTCGTGCTATAAATTTCCCACGAGCCAAAAAACACTTTTCCGCACTCGTATCGAAATATACTATTTCTTCACAATGTCCGTAAACGGCGTTTGACGGAAACGAAATGTAATGAAAAAAACTTTTCTAGCTCATATGATGGCAAACTCATATTCGCCACAAATGGTTTTTTCGGCCTAATGACGAAATACATTATTTTGTCATTCCGGGCTTGTAAGGCAGCGGTTCTCGAACGCTACACGTCATTAGGCCGAACTAGTGGATTTTGTCATGATGACCGAATGCGAATTTTGCAGTCGCTCAAATTTAAGTTTTCAGTTTTTGGTGTTGGGATAACTGAATATGGTCTAAGAAGTCCGAATATGCGATTTGTAGATGATGATGTCTGCATGTACGCAGTTATGTGATCTATTTTCTCCATTTTTTTTCTCCAAATTTTTTTAGAAGGGATCATTTAGTTCATAATTTTTTGATCATCAGTATATAGAGGTTGTCGCGTAATGAACAGCAAATTCGAGTTGACGGCAGACCGCCAGTCGATGAGGACACTCCGTGCGATATAAGCGCCGTACTGAGGGGTTCACTCTAGTCTGGTCACCAAACGCGACCCTGCGACTTTAGAGCTGCGGGACATCCCGAAAAAAGCGCTTCTAAATCGACCAACCGACCACTCGTGTACTAATGCGTAATTTTTTTTTAATCAATAAAATATGACCACGGAACGTTAGCTAAGCAATTTTTAATTGATTTTAGGCACTGTAAACATCTAAACCCTTCTAAACCCTTCTAAACATCATCCAATGGGGTGGGGTATGCACCGTAGTCTATAGGTTGGAACTAATGATCCCGCATTAATTTTGGAATCGCCGATTTTCATAAAATCTATGTTTTTGGGTCAAGGATTCTAAATTTGTCGGTTATTAAAAAAAAAACAAGCGTTCTATTTGTTATTAACAATTTAATTAGTCAAATCGTCCTATCGCCCAAACTATGGAAAGTAAACAAAAATTTTCAAACCATAAATTATCTAGAATTTAATAAGGAATGATTTTTGTCTATTGTCAATTTCACATTTCTCTTTTAGCCTCTGAGATATGAGCAATAAATTAGTTGCGCGACCCGACACAGCGGTTTCCCAGGTAAGAATTATCCAGGCTGACGATGGGAACAGTCTTTTTTGAGCCCTGTATTGGCAAGGCTCAATGGCTCAGGCCTCAGACAAGCCTGTTCTCATCGTTCAATCCAGGCTCAAATGAGGGTGATCAATGAGGCCTTTGGCGAGTCTCAGTTCAGGCTCATTTCAGGCTTTGGGTATTGAGGCTGAGTACGTCCAGGCTCATCTAGGACTCAACCAGTCCCCGGGAGTAAATTTAACCGTTGATTTATATCCTAAATTTTTGAACTAATGACCACCATTCAATGAAAGTAAAAAAAGTATCATCACTTTCACAAATATAACTATACTTGTCGTAACATCTACCAAGCTGAGGCCCAAATCAGGCCTGCAACAGTCCTTTGTGCACGCAGTTGCATAATTATCATTATTATTATCTTTGACTGATCAATCAATAGATTTACAACTAGTTCATTCATCGGGCTCATCATTCATTCTGTTTACAATATTTAAACGAATGGATAAACAGAGAAACACTACTTTGTACATTTATATCCGAAAAAAAATCTTCTAATTGTAAGAAGTTTCCGGTAGCCTAGTGGACAACGCACCTGACTGAAGATCTGAAGGACCTAGGATATCGAATCCCCGAGCATGCACAATTTTTAAAATGTATAATTTCATTGTATTTCAATTTCAGGTACGCGATAACGGTTCCGGGCGAATAATTAGCGGAAAACAATGATGATAACTTTTTTTTTTGTATCCATTGATAATTAATTAACAATTAGAATTAACGAATTACCGCTCATCAACTATGGCGAACAATTCTACTGCAGACTATTTTGTAGGGTTCCAAAAATTGATAAATGGTTTATAAACAATTAGTAATGATGCAAATAAATGCGTATACACAATAATGTCTATTGTTTAAATGAAGCGCAATTGAGCCTTTGAAATTTCGTAATTCAAGGCTTGGATCAGGACTTGTCATCAAGCCTTGTTCAAGCCTTAGAGATTGAGCCTGAATTCGGGTTATCATTTTCAGGGCTGAATGAGGGCTCATCCAAGCTTGGGCCCCAGCCCTGACTGAGCATTTTCGAGCCTTGTTTCAAGGCTCGATGAGCCTGGTTTCCATCGTCAATTCCTACCTGGGTTCCGCTGGCGGCGCGCGGTGGGCCTGAGTCACGCAACTCTTTCATTACTCATATCTCAAAATCTAAAGGAGATATGTGAAATTGACAAAATACAAAAATTATTCCTTATTAAATTCTAGATAATTTATGATTTAGAAATTTCCGTCTATCTCCCATAGTTTGGGTGATAGGACAATTTGAAGAATTAAATTGTTAATAACAAATGGGTTCCAATGCATAAAATCAATTAAAAATTGCTTAGTTAACGTTCCGTGATCATATACTATTGATTGAAAAAAGAATTATGCATTAGTACGCGAGTGGTCGGTACATGTCTGAAAATCGGGGGTGTCCCGGAGCTCTACTTTGGTCACCTCTGCGGTGATTCGCCGCCATGTTATTTAGCTTTAGCGTTGCCGAATTCACTCTACACTGTCCGGACGCGTTTAGCGAGTTTCTGGCAACGTCGCAATTATGGGCCATTTTCTTTAAAATGGGAAAAATAATTCATCTGTTCGAAATCATTTGTTTTCTTTAGGATTTTAGGAAATATGTTCATCTAGAAACTATTATAATTTTTTAGACACTTCTATAGACAAAGCCAATTTTTTTTTAATCTTTCCGGTTAGCCAGTCAATCGTAATTAGAAAAACGACGCGCAGCGGGGTTTCCCTCATAGAGTGATCAATCTAAAGTTAATCACGATTTCAGTAGTCAAACGGTTTAAGTCAATTCCATTCTAGCGCCCGTTCTCGATGAATATCTCAAATTCTAAAGGAGTTGGCAAAATTTTCCTAAAAATATTTTTTGTAAAGAAAAATGAAGACTCTCGAAAAAGACCTTACAACAATTTCGCTATCTTTCTTAAATTCCGAATTATTCACTGAAAACTCAACCGGGAGCTACGTCGACTTAAACCGATTGACCACTTTACTACTGATTTATTCTTTAGATTTTTTTATGCACGATTCACTTCTATTTTTTATTTATTCAATCCTACTCACGTCAAGTAGAGGCACCGGATTGAATCAAGAAATTTTTTTTTTTTTGGGTGATACCTATTAAACGTCGGCATAGAGAATAATTTTGTCATTGATTGTGGCTATGAGTTTTAAAAGTCGCGGGCTTTTTGTGTATTGTTTAGTTGCCCCGCACATGCTTAAAATGGCAAAAATAACCCAGGGCCTCCAATTCTTGAGCTACCGAGGTTTTTTTTCAAATTTTTTCAAAAAATGTGTGCAATAACAATTACCAATTAATTTTTTGAAATTCGAATCCTACACAGCTAGTTTCCTTTGTTTAATATACAAATTTGCGCCATTCATGTAAAATAGGCAAAAAAATATCCGTAAAATATTTAAAATATATACTTGATTCTTTCAGAAACATTTTTTGGGCTATTTTACATGAATGGTGCAATTTTTATTTAAAAAAAACGAAATTAGCTGTGTAGGAGTCGAAATTCAAAAAACTACTACTACTACTACAACTTTCCAAAAAAACTCTGTAGCTCAAAACTTAGAGGCCCTGGACTATTTTTATAATTCTAAGCGTCTGCGGGGCAAACGAACAACAGGCAATTTATTCTTTTCCACTAATTATTCA